GGAGGACCCATTAAGATGGTCCGCCCCAGGAGACTAATGGATCCGAATGGATTCCTGAAGGCTCTTGGGGAGTTTCCCGCCACCTCGGTAGGTGCTCATGTCGAGGCCTTAGTCGCTCTCTGGAATGGGGAGATGACTAGGGCAATTGACATGATCGCTCCGGAACGTCCCCTCTCAAGTAACCGAGCTAAACCAGCTCCTTGGTTCACTGAGGAGCTGGCAGCGATGAAGCGAAAGAAGAGGGGTCTAGAGAGCGTGTGGCGTTCGGATCCAAGCGAGCCAAACCGAACACGGTTTGTGTCCTTTTTAAGGGCATATGCCGCGGCAATAAAAGCCGCAAAGAAAACTTTCTTTGCGGCCACTATTGCGTCTGCAAAAAACCGTCCGGCGGAGTTGTTTCGGATTGTCAGAGGTCTTTTAACTCCCCCTACTGCAGGTGGGAGCCCTGACAACTCGGACACACGCTGTGAAGCATTTGCTCGGTTCTTTGCAGACAAAGTCGCTTTGATCCGTTCTGGGCTGGACGCCGCATTAAATGCAGTCTCTGGGGATGTGACACAAGCACCTGCTTGTCCTATTTTGATGGATTCTTTTCAGTTTGTGAAACCCGAGGATGTGGACAAGATACTTGGAGGAATGAGGCCCACCACGTCCATCCTAGACCCCTGCCCATCCTTGCTTCTGAAGGAGGCCAGAGGGGGATTGGCCGAGTGGGTAACGGTGGTGGTTAATGCCTCCCTTCGGGAAGGCAAGATTCCAGCGCGCCTAAAACAGGCTATTATAAAGCCGCTGTTGAAGAAACCATCATTGGACCCCACTAAATTGGACAACTTTCGGCCTGTTTCCAATCTTCCCTTCTTGGGCAAAGTCATGGAAAGCGGGGTGGCCTCACAACTCCAGGTATTCTTGAGAGACACGGATATTCTGGATCCGGCACAGTCTGGTTTCAGACCGGGACATGGTACCGAGACGGTCTTGGTCGCCTTAGTGGATGATCTGCGCCGGGAGCTAGACAGGGGGAGTATGCCCCGGTTGGTTTTCCTGGACCTCTCAGCGGCCTTCAATACTGTAGACCACGGTATCCTTCTGGGGCGCCTTGCAGAGATGGGACTTGGGGGCACTGCTCTGCAGTGGCTCCGATCGTTTCTGGAGGGTCGTACCCAGAAGGTGTTATGGGGGGACTCCTGTTCAGCGCCACGGCCGTTGACCTGTGGCGTTCCTCAGGGTTCCATCTTGTCCCCCCTGCTGTTTAACATCTACATGAAGCCGCTGGGTGAGATCATCCGGAGTTTCGGAGTGCGGTGTCACCTGTACGCAGATGACGTCCAACTCTGTCACTCCTTTCCACCTGCTACTAAGGAGGCTGTCGAGGTCCTGAACCGGTGCCTGGCTGCTGTAATGGTCTGGATGAGGGCGAACAAACTGAAATTAAATCCAGACAAGACAGAGGTACTCCTGGTCAGTCGCAAGGCCGAACAGGGTATAGGGTTACAGCCTGTGCTGGACGGGGTCGCACTCCCCTTGAAGGCGCAGGTTCGCAGCTTGGGTGTGACCCTGGATTCATCGCTGAGCCTGGAGCCCCAGGTCTCAGTGGTGACCAGGGGAGCATTTGCACAGCTTAGGCTCGTGCGCCAGCTGCGCCCGTATCTTGGGAAGCCGGACTTGGCCACGGTGGTACATGCTTTGGTCACATCCCGCCTCGACTACTGCAACGCTCTCTACGTGGGGCTGCCCTTGAAGACGGCCCGGAAGCTTCAGCTAGTCCAACGCGCGGCAGCCATGTTATTAACAGGAGCAGGACGCAGAGAGCGCACAACGCCCCTGCTGTCCCAGCTCCACTGGCTGCCGATTTGCTACCGGGCCCAATTTAAGGTGTTGGTGTTAGCCTATAAAGCCCTAAACGGTTCCGGCCCAAAATACCTTGCAGACCGCATCTCGGCCTATGAGCCCACGAGGGCCTTGAGATCGTCTGGGGAGGCCCTTCTCTCGATCCCGCCTGCCTCACAGGCACGTCTGGCAGGGACGAGAGAGAGGGCCTTCTCGGTGGTGGCCCCCCGGCTGTGGAACACCCTCCCGACTGAGGTTAGACAGGCGCCCTCTTAATGGCCTTTCGTAGGAGCCTGAAAACTTGGCTCTGCGAGCAGGCCTTCAACTAGTGTATCTGTGGAAAGACGTTAGGACGGACTATGACTACGAATTTGGCTATGACCCCAGGACTAGACGAAGCGGATTTTTAATATAAGTATATGTCGTAGTAGTAGTAGAGTGTTGTTGTGCTGTCTTGATTCATTGTAAATTGTCTTTTCTATGTTTTTGTACACCGCCGCGAGTCGCCCATTAGGGCTGAGAGCGGCGGTTAACAAGTGCAAGTAATAAATAAATAAATAAATAAATGACTAGATCAATAGGCACTGCTTCAGTGGAAATGTAACGGTGCTCCATGCAGTGATGCTGGCCTCAAGACCTTGGAGGTATCTACGGACAACACCAGCTCTTTGGCTTAGAAATGGAGATGAGCAACATCCCCCAGAGTCGAACACGGCTAGTCTTAACGTCAAGGGGAAACCTTTACCTTTACTTTATAGGGACCCTTTATACGAGCCCCTGGTGATGAATAGGTTAAACCCTTGGGCCTGTAGGACTGCTGACCGAAAGGTCAGTGGTTCGAATCCCAGTAGCGGAGTGAACTCCCGTCTGTCAGCGGCAGCTCCTCATGCAGGGTCATGAGAGAAGCCTCCTACAGGACAGTAAAACATTTGGGCATCCCCTGAGCAATGTCCTTGCAGATAATCAATTCTCTCACACCAGAAGCAACTTGCAGTTTCTCAATTTGCTTCTGACACAACAACAACAACAACAAAAAACCTTATAGGGCAGAATGGGGTTTGGACTGGATGGCCCTTGGGGGACCCTTTCCAAGTCTAGCGAGACTCTGTGGCCTTTGCAATGCTCAGACCTGACTGAGAGTTTAGCTCTCTAGTTTGGAGCCTCCAGGCCACAGCACCTTCCCAAAACACTCCAGAGCAGGCATGGGCAAACTTCATTCTTCCAGGTGTTTTGGACTTCCTACTGTTGGGAACTGTGAGAGTTGAAATCCAAAACACCTAGCTGGCCAAAGTTTGTCCATGCCTGCTCTGGAGGGACCAAAACTGGGGACAAAGATGTGTTTGCTTGGAATACCTAATTGGCCTCCTTCTTTTCTGTCCTTGATTCTTTTTCTTTTTTTCTTCTCAAGGTGGTGAATCTGCGGTTGGTGACAAGGACAAACGTGGGTGTGACAGGAAAGAAAGCTGTGAACAAGTGGGGGGGGGGGGGGGGGAGGAGAGAGGGTCACGATCCAGGACGAGGCTTCCACTGCAGAGAGAGAGAGAATAAGGAAGAGAGAGAGAAAAGAAGAAGAGAAGGGGGAGCATCCTTTCTGGGAGTGCCTCTTCTTTGCCCTCTTCTTTCTCCCATTCATTTTTCCCACCGATTTGGGGGAGGGGCACACGTGGGGGGGGGGGGTTCCTTCCCTCCGTTCTTTCCTTCCTTCCTTCCTTCCTTCCTTCCTTCCTCCATTCCTTCCTTCCTTCCTTCCTTCCTTGCATTCTCACTTATTTCCTTGCTTGCTTGCTTGCTTGCTTCCTTGCATCCTTCTTTCCTCCCTCCATCCATCCCTTGCATCCCTCGTTGTATCCTTCCTTGCATCCATCCATCCTTCTTTGCATCCTTCCTTCTTTGCTCCCTTCCTTCCTTCCTTGCATCCTTTCCTTCCTTCCTTCCTTCCTTCCTTGAATCCTTCCTTCTTTCCTTGCTTGCTTCTTTGCTTGTTTCCTACCTTGCTTCCTCCCTCCCTTCTTTCCTTGCATCCCTCCTTACATCCATCCATCCATCCTTCCTTGCATCATTCCTTCTTTGCTTACTTCCTTCCTTACATTCTTCCTTTTTCTCTTTCTTTCTGGCATCCTTCCTTCCTTCATTCCTTGCATCCTTCTTTCCTTGCTTGCTTGTTTTCTTCCTCCCTTTTTTCCTTCATTCTTTCCTGGCATCCTTCTTTGCTTGCTTGCTTCCTTCCTTCCTTCCTTCCTTCCTTCCGTCCTTCCATTCTTCCTCCCTCTCTTCCTTTCTGGCATCCTTTCTTACTTCCTTGCTTCATTCCTCGCATCCTTCCTTCTTTCCTTGCTTGGTTGTTTTCTTCCTCCCTTCTTTCCTTCTTTCCTTCCTTGCATCCTTCTTTGCTTGCTTCCTTCCTTCCCTCCTTCCTTCCTTTCTGGCATCCTTTCTTGCATCTTCCTGCTTCCTTCTTTCTTTCCTTCTTCCTTCTCTTCCTTCTTCTCCTTCCTTCCTTCTTTCCTTCCTTCCTTCCGTCCTTCCTTCCTTCTTCCCCTTCTTTCCTCCTTCCTTTTCTCTCTTTCCTTCCTTCCTTCCTTCTTGCTTACTTCCTTCCTCCTTCCTTCCTCCTTCTTTGCTTCCTTCCTTCCCTCCTTCCTTTCTTCATTCCTTCCTTCCTCTCCATCCTTCCTTCCTGCTTCCTTGCATCCTTCCTTCCTTCCTTGCATCCTTCCTTCTCCCTCTCTTCCTTCCTTGCATCCTTCCTTCTTGGCTTCCTTCCTTCTTTGCTTCCTTCCTTACATGCTTCCTTCATCCCTTCCTTCCTTCCTTCCTTCCTTTCTTTCTGGCATCCTTCCTTCTCTCCTTGCTTGCTTGCTTGTTTCCTTCCTTCCTTCCTTGCATCCTTCTTTCCTCTCTTCCTTCTCTCCTTCCTGGCTTCCTTCCTTCTTTGCTTCCTTCCTTACATGCTTCCTTCATCCCTTCCTTCCTTCTTTCCTTCCTTCCTTTCTGGCATCCTTCCTTCTCTCCTTGCTTGCTTGCTTGTTTCCTTCCTTCTTTCTTTGCATCCTTCTTTGCTTCCCTCCTTCCTTCCTAGTTCCCTTCCTTCCTAGCTTCCTTACATCCTTCCTTGCCTCGTTCTCCCTCCTCCCCTCCCTCCTTCCCCTGCTGCCTTCTCCTCGGCTGCTGCTGCAATGCATCAAGTTCCTCCTCCTCCTCCTCCTCCCTCTTTCCCTCCCTCCCTCCCTCCTTCCTTCCTCATCGAGTGGCGCACGCTTCGAGTCCTCCTCCGAGCCCGGCGTTTCCCATCCAGGAGAGAGGCTCGGCTCTGCCGCAGGAAAGCAAACCGAGGCAAGAGACGGGCAGAACCGAGGAGACGGAGGCCACAGAGAAGCGGGAGGAAGGACAGGAGGAGAGCAAGAGGCAAGGAGGGAGGAGCGGCTGGACAGCGCCCGGCCCTGATCCCCACCTTCCCCGATTCCCTCCATCATGGGTCCCGGGAGGGTCTCCTTCCTCCGAAGGGGGCCTCGACGGAGCCCCGACTCGGGCTGACTCCGCGCCGCTTGGGAAGAAGACCCCGATCCGTCTAGGGACTTGCTTGTGCTGACTCCGGGGCCCCTGCGGAGTTTTATGGCTCGGGCCGGCGGACCCCTGGCCGCCTTTGCCTCCTCCGTCTCCTCCTCTGTCTCCTCGGGGCCCTCGGTCCCTTGCCCGCCCCCTCCCGAGCACCGCGAGGCATTCCGAGGCGGCGGTGGAGGCAGTGCTCGGGGGGGCCTCTTCTCCTTTGGGCAGCTGCTCAGCCCCGCCGGCTATAAATACATCCCTTCCTCCTCCTCCTCCGCCCGGATCGGCTGTCGGTCCTGTTGACGTCCCAAGGAGCCTCGGTATGGCGGGCCCGCAGCCCCTCGCCCTCCTCCTGGGCCTCGCGTTGGGTGAGTCGCAAGGGGAGCGGGGAGGGACCCTTTTTGGGGTCCTGGGGAGAGTGGGGAACCCATCTTCTCTCTCTCAGTCACATCTAGAGGGGTTATGGGCCCAGTTCTGTGCCCCACCATTGAAAGAGATGGGCTTCAAGACCAGGACTGCAAGGTCACCTATTCCACTCTGGAAGAAGGACTCTTTCTTCAACTCCCACCATTCCTAACAGCCTCAGGCCCCTTCCTTTCCCCCCTCAGCCTCTTAAGCGGAAAGGGCCTGAGACTGTTAGGAATGGTGGGAGTTGAAGTCCAACACACCTGGAGGGCCAAAGTTTGTCCATTCCCGCTCTAGGCCATCCTGCTCTAGGCCATCCACTCAATGGTCTCCCATTGCCAGCCAACTTGGGCCTTCTCTCAAGGGTTTAGGACTCCAACTCCCACCATTCTCTAACAGCCTCAGGCCCTTTCCTTTTCCCCTCTAAGGCAGTGTTTCTCAATCTGGGGGTCGGGAACCTTGGGGGAGTCATGAGGGGGTGTCAGAGCGGTCGCCAAAGACGATTAGAAAACACAGTATTTTCTGTTGGTCGGTTCTGTATGGGAAGTTTGGCCCAATTCTATTCTTGGTGGGGTTCAGATTGCTCTTTGATTGTAGGTGAACTACACATCCCAGCAACTACAACTCCCAAATGTCAAGGTCTGTTTTCCCCAAACTCCACCAGTGTTCACATTTGGACATATTGAGTATTAGTGCCAAGTTTGGTTCACATCCATTATTGTTGGAGTTCAGTATGCTCTTTGATTGTAGGTGAACAATAAATCCCAGCAACTACAACTCCCAAATGTCAAGGTCTGTTTCCCCCAAACTCCACCTGTGTTCACATTTGGGTATATTTAGTATTCCTGCCAAGTTTGGTTCAATTCCATCATTGGTGGGGTTCAGAATGCTCTGATTGTAGGTGAACTATAAATCCCAGCAACTACAACTCCCAAATGTCAAGGTCTATTTTCCCCCAAACTCCACCAGTGTTCACATTTGGGCATATTGAATATTGGTGCCAAGTTTGGTTCACATCCATCATTGTTGGAGTTCACAGTGCTCTCTGGATGTAGGTGAACTACAACTTCAAAACTCAAGGTCAATGCCCACCAAACCCTTCCAGTATTTTCCGATGGTCGTGGGAGTTCTTTTTTTCAAGCTTGGACCAATTTTATCGTTGGTGGAGTTCACAATGCTCTTTGATTGTAGGTGAACTGTAAATCCCAGCAACTACAATTCCCAAATGACAAAATCACCTACTCCCCGGCAACCCCAACAGTATTCAAATTTGTGTTTATTGGCTATTTGTGCAAATTTGGTCCAGCGAATGAAAATATATTATGCGTATTGGATATTTACATTATGATTCATAACAGTAGCAAAATTACAGTTCTGAACTAGCAATGAAAATAATGTTACGGTTGGGTCACCACAACATGAGGAACTGTATTAAGGGATCGTGGCCTTAGGAAGGTTTAGAAACACTGCTCTAAGGCATATAGGGCCAATACTTCCTTAGTAAAGGTAACGGTTTACCCCTGACAGCCAAAGGCAAACTAGCTTCACCTGATGGGCTTCAGAAAGCTACGAGCCACCTAAGACCTTAAGATCATCTGGGGAGGCCCTGTTCTCAGTCCCCCCACCATCACAATTACACTTGGTTGAGGACGAGACACAGGCCTTCTCCGTGGTGGCCCCTTGGCTATGGATTACCCTCCCCAAATGAAATCAGATTATAGCCATATAGTCCAAAAAATCTACAAAACCCAGAAATCAGATCTGCTCCATCTCCATCTCTTCTGTCCTTCTGAAAAAAAAGTGAAATCCTGGCTGTTGGATCAGGCCTTTGCATACTAGACTGACTTGCTGGCAAAGTTACGGTTTTAATGGACTATGAGGGACTGTTTTTAGGATTACAACTGAATTCAGCATTGTATTCAATGGAAGAGTTGCTGGTGGCATAGTGGGTTAAATCGCTGAGCTGCTGAACTTGCTGACCAAAGGGTTGTAGGTTTGAGTCCGGAGAGCGGCATGAGTCCCAGCTTCTGTTAGCCCCAGCTTCTGCCAACCTAGTAGTTCGAAAACATGCAAATGGAAGTTAGCCGCAGCTTCTTCCAACCTAGCATTCAGCCCCAGCTTCTGCCCCGGCTTCTGCCAACCTAGTAGTTTGAAAACATGCAAATGGGAGTTAGCCCCAGCTTCTTCCAACCTAGCAGTTAGCCCCAGCTTCTGCCAACCTAGCAGTTCAAAAACATGCAAATGGGAGTTACCCCCAGCTTCTTCCAACCTAGCAGTTAGCCCCAGCTTCTGCGCCAGCTTCTACCAACCTAGCAGTTCAAAAACATGCAAATGGGGGTTAGCCCCAGCTTCTTCCAACCTAGCAGCCCCAGCTTCGGCCAACCTAGCAGTTCGAAAACATGCAAATGGGAGTTAGCTCCAGCTTCTTCCAACCTAGCAGTTAGTCCCAGCTTCTGCCCCAGCTTCTACCAACCTAGCAGTTCGAGAACATGCAACCTAGCAGTTAGACCCAGCTTCTTCCAACCTAGCAGTTGTGCCCCAGCTTCTGCCCCAACCAACCCCAGCTTGTGCC